TTTTCATGTAGTCAGGGAGAAATCCTGTTAGCTGCCTCCAGAGAAAGTGCAGAGGAAATGAATGACTTTCAGATGAAGACATAGTAACATAGCCTTTTTTTTTATTTTATTATGTGTATGGGTGTTTTGCCTGAATGTGTGTCTGTGCGCCATGTACATGAGGTGCCCACAGAAACCAGAAAGGGATATACAGAAAAGGATGTTGGATCCCCTGGAACTCGAGTCGCAAACAATTCTCTCTCTTTTTCTTTTTTTTTTGGGTGGGGAGCAGGGGAGGATGGGTTAGACATTGTTTCTCTGTGTAGCTCTGGCTGTCCTGGAACTCATAGAACAGGATGATCTCAAATTCAGAGATCCACCTGCCTCTGGCTCCCCAGTGCTGGGATTAAAGGTGTGCACCACCACTTCCTGTCCCTCACAAACTATTCTTAGTCACTACATGGTTGCTGGAAATCAAACCTGGGTCTTCTGGAAGAGCAGCCAGTGCTCTTAACTACCTAGCCATCTCTTCAGCCCCAGGCATGGGCTTCTTGAGTGCTGTCTTCTGTGACCAGAGCCAGAAGGGACCTGTTCATACTGCCCGGGAGCTCAGGAGCTCAGGGGACCTCCTGGGGAAGCACCGAGCCTCTCCCCAGTTGGTCTGCCTGTTGGAATGCAGGCTGCTCTTTGCTTCCTGGAGAGAGCCCCATTAGCCATTCTCCAGGTAGTGACCCCTACTAGGTAGATAGTCATTCCTATGTGCCATTTGTCATGTGCTTTTCCCAGGGCCACTGAGAAGTCACACTTGAAGTACAGTCAGGCTCAGGGTACTGGGCTCCATCCAGTCCAGACAGCCCCGAGACTAACTTTGCCGTCTTCCCACCACAGCTCAGCACAAGCTGACTTTCCCAGCTCTGCTTTTCTCTTTCCTTCTCTGAAGATTCTAATTGTGACTTTGTGATCCAAAATGAGTCCCACGGCATGGTCACCTTCCTCTTAACACCCCTCAGCAGGGGCTTCCAGGAAGGATGTGGCTCCCTCTGCCAGAGACTGTTCAATTCTCCCACCCTTTGAAGTCTGGCTGTCTGCAGGGTAAACTGTGGTTGTCTCAAAGACTTCATTCTGAAGCCAAAAATACCAGCATCTTTGAAATGGGACAGCACAGGAAGTTAGGGCAGGGGGCACTTGCTCTTTGATGTCCCAGAAGTGAAAAGTGGCCTGCAGCTACAGGGTGCCTGGGCATCATGTGGCTTTAGGGGCCAACAATGGCATAGACCATCATGTCTCCACAGCCCATCAGACCTGGGACCCTTCTTGGCTAGGAGCAGAATAAGACCTGTGTTATAGGAGGCAGATAGCTGGGACGAATGTGGCAGTGTGATCCCTTCTGTGAGGCTTGGGACACTCAGGACACCCAGAGTCACTTTCTCATCCTGAATACCTGTAACGCAGGACACCTGAGGGTGTGAACACAGTTTGTGAAACAGGTCCACCCGTTTGAAAAATGGTTTGGCCAGAGGTACTAAAGCTGAAGATAGACCTCATGCCTGCAATATTCTATTGGTAGGTGTCATTCAGCATAAGCACATGCCTGTGTCTGCTGCTGATGTCCAGCAAGACCTACCAACAGCACTGATCTGGATAAGATTGGCCACAAGCTGCCAAATGTCCAGGATGGATTATTCACATAGTGGACACTACACAACCTGAATGTGGTGTGAGTCTTAGTGTGAACAAAGGTGACTCTTAGTGTGAACAACGTATAAACCGGAAGATTCCATTTTATGTGATGTTCCAAGATAGACAAAATTGGTAGTGCTGAGGCCCAGGGAGGCCCAACATAACAGGTGTCAGTTGTATTTTATTCATTGACCTGGGAAAGTAGTCCTGATCATGCTCAGTTTGGCGTGTGTCACTTTTATAAGTGTCTTTTACTGCAGGGTTGTTAAATGAAAGCAAAAAGGTAAGTGCAAAATGCAGATGTCAGAAACGACTAACATCTGTTAGTGGATGCTCACACGGTTCATGTGTGCTTCCACAGTGGCTCTTCTGTATGAGCACCTTATGACCAGAGAGTTGCCAGAGTAGGCGAGAGAAAGAACAGACCTTTAGCTGGGCAGGGTAATGCACACCTTTAATATCAGCACTCTGGCAGCAGAGGTAGGTAGATCTTTGTTTTGGACCAGCCTGCTCCACCAAGTGAGTTCCAGGCCAGCCAGAGTTATATAATAGTGAGACCCTGTCTCAAAAAAAAAAAAAAGAATGGCCTTTTAACACTAGTATCGCAGACACTGAAAGTGCACTCCAGCTGGTTCCTGCCTCTCCACTGCTGGCGTTCTTACCTTATTCTCTTCACTTCCATGTGGAAGGGAGTATCTTGTGCTGATGAGAAGGCATTGGGTACCATGGAGAAAGTCCAGCAGCGGCTAGAGGTGGGTTGACACCACCCCTGCCTGCTGTCCTGACCACTATGAGTAGTCACATGCCCAGCTGCTGGCCCACAGAGGCTGGAGACAGAGGTCTGCCCTGATGTGGTTCCTGGCTCCAGGGCTGGCATGTGCTCCGCAGCGGAAATGGGGCTTCTCAAGGGAAGGGTTGTGCCCTGGGGAGAGGGGCATCCACGAGAGTAAGACAATGTGACTAAAGAACGCTGGGGGATAGCCTCAACCCCCTCTGGTCAATCAGCTCCCAGGAAGTGGCAAGCTTCCTGCCACACCCAGAACTGTAGCTAAAGGAGGTTCTAGCCAGCTTGGGCCTTGAGGGACGTGCAGTGCCGTTGTCCCTGTCAGAGCTCCTCTGAGCCCATTGGTATAGGGCTCTGGTCTACCTTAGCCCTGCCTGTAGTCCTGCAGCTACCACTGACTCTCAGATTCTTCTTGCTCCAGCCTGGAGTTCAAGGAGCTGAATTGGTGCTATGTGTACACACCCTCAGCTCCAAACAGAAATGTCACTGCCCTTGGCATGCTTCCAATGGACAGTGGTGGTGAGGGTGGGAGATGGGATGCCCCGTTCCCAACCCGTGACTGCCCGAGGCAGAGCAGAAAGAGAGGGAGGAGGTGGGGGACAACTCAAGAAAGTGCCTTGGAGATAGTTTGGAGACTCGGGTAGGGCTACACTGGGCAGGTCCTAGTGAGCCAGGATGCCTGAAAGGGGGTTGGCAAGTCTACAGGGGCTCTGAACACAAAGGGATATGCAGTACCCTATGTTGGAGTCGAGCTAGGTTTTCCAGTTTCTCAGTGCTGCTTATGCCCCCTAGAGGCGGTCCAGAGTGCTGGGGCACATGCCCATCATGTGGCCACCCTCAGGAGGAGGGCCTCTGGGAACGAGTTAAAAGATTCAGAGAAAGGCTCCATTCTTTCCCCGACCTCAGCCTACCCTGGCTTGGGGAAGCAGGGGACCCAGAAGTCGGGAGGTGCCGAGCTTAGAAATGTGTCTGAGGCACTTGCTGAGAAAAGGCAGCAGAAAGCTGGGCTCCTCAGTGGGTCTCCATGCGCAGAGTCCTAGCCAGGAAGTGTCTAGACTTTGCCTGTGCCATGCCTAGGCAGAAAGAGGGCAAGTGTGAAGGAAAATCGGAGAGTGCCCAGATGGAAAGAGGCAGTGTGAGGGACGTCGGAGCCCCCTGATGATACCATGAGCTGAGTAGGACGCTGGGAGGCTGACACCACCTGGAGCTGAAGCCTCCACTGCTTCCTGGACAAGACTATGCCCACCCAGGGGCCTCAGAAGAGGCTTCTGGGTTCTCTCAACTCCACCTCCACAGCCACCCCTCACCTTGGACTGGCCACAAACCAGACAGGGCCTTGGTGCCTGCAGGTGTCTATCCCGGATGGCCTCTTCCTCAGCCTGGGGCTGGTGAGTCTGGTGGAGAATGTGCTGGTCGTGATAGCCATCACCAAAAACCGCAACCTGCACTCGCCCATGTATTCCTTCATCTGCTGTCTGGCCCTGTCTGACCTGATGGTGAGTATAAGCATGGTGCTGGAGACGGCTATCATCCTGCTGCTGGAGGCAGGGGCCCTGGTGACCCGGGCCGCTTTGGTGCAACAGCTGGACAATGTCATTGACGTGCTCATCTGTGGCTCCATGGTGTCCAGTCTTTGCTTCCTCGGTGTCATTGCCATAGACCGCTACATCTCCATCTTCTATGCATTACGTTATCACAGCATTGTGACGCTGCCCCGGGCACGACGGGCCATCGTGGGCATCTGGGTGGCCAGCATCTTCTTCAGCACCCTCTTTATCACCTACTACAACCACACAGCCGTCCTAATCTGCCTTGTCACTTTCTTT